ATCTGGGTGAGAGAGATGCTGCATCCCAGCATCCTTAAGGCAGAATGAAGGAAATTAGCCAGCCTCCCCTCCCCTCCCCGGCCCCAGGGGACACAGGGACAAGGCTGCCTTTACTTTCTGTCCATGTCGGAAGCCGCGGCGTAGTGCAGAGCTGTCCGGCCCCAGTCATCGGTCTCGTTCACGTTGGCCCCCGTGGTCACTAAGACCTCGATGCAGTGGAAGTGGCAGTTCGCAGCTGCATAGTGCAAAGGGGTCCTGGAAGACAGGCGGCAAGGTGTGACCTCCCTCAGGCGGCACACAGGCCCATGAAGGCAGGGTTCCTACGGGTGTGGAGAGCTCTTCGTCCCCCAGAGCCCGGAGGCCAGGGGCGGTGCCTTCTGTGACGGTAAATTGCAAGTGAGGCTACAGAAACAGTGGCTTCAGACAAGGCCGTCCACCCGCAGACCTGCCTTTCCACTCCTCGCGCCTCTCCTGGTGCAGGTCGATGTCACTGCCCGGATGAAACACTGCAATGCCATCCCTCTTAGCCTCCTTATCTCGAATCAAACGTCCATTGACTTTCTAGTTGTTCCGGATGAAGAACTCAGTTTTCTAAGGTCCGATACCCACATCTGACAATCCCGTCCTAAAACTTCTGGTCCTCCCCCCTGACAAGGCCTCGTGTGAAGCTGAAGACCTCCCCAAGTTGGTCCTGATCTACCTTCATGGAGTGTCTCTCTCTCCCCTAGATGAGCCCATTATTGAATCCAAACGAAATGACCTGAGGTTGTCCCTGTCATGTTCACACACCCCTCCACTGTGCCACGTTGCTCTGTTCCCTGGAATGCAGCAGGGAGCAGCATTCCACCCATGAAAACCCCAACTCCACCAGAAGTTCTCTCTCTTCTGTCTGAGATCGCCGAGCGCCTGTCTGGGCCTCTCTCATCCTGTGCTGCCCTGATGTTAGCTGTTGGTGTCGTCTCACCTTCTCCACTGAACTATACGGCTAATAGGAAGAGCGATACATGTGGAATCCGGTGCCCCGGGTTCTGGTCTGGACAAGTGTGCAGGCCAGCCCCAACCACATCCCCTCTCCAGGCCCGGGCGTCGTCCTTCTGGCTACAAGAACCTCAGGTCCACTCGAGCTCTGAAATCCCATGCACATGCATAACTCGTTTAGTTTCTCTGGGCTCAGTTTTCTCATTAATTAAAAAGGATAATGAGCATCTCCATGTACCTCATGGAGTTACTATGAGAAGCCAAGCGAGTAACATTTAGAAAACACAGCACTTGTAAAGCATACCGCAGAGCAGGAATATAAGGTTTTATATCACTTATTTTTAGTCCTCAATTATTTTACAGTCCATCTGGTGTTGCTAGTATCAGGGGATACTAGCCAAACAAATTGCTAGAAATGGAGTAACTTTTTTTGTCAAGTACCATTTATCAATTTTCAAGTCCAACTATTTTATATTTTGTAGGCAATTTTTGGGCTCTTTGACCACTTGATTTACTCCTGTTTAGTTCAAAAAAGGGAAATTATAAATATTTTACATGTTGGATTGCTTATGTTTTTGTTGCTTTGTTGGCGTTTCGCTACAAGAAGGACTTCCTTCCAAGGATGGACTCTTCCAACCAGCTCCCCATTTTAGCTCCCTGTTTACCATCCCATCATCACATGACAGCATCACATGGCTTCCAGATGGACTGCTCCCTGCTGCTGTTATTTAGGCACAGGAAGCAGAGTTCCGTGTTTACATACCTCCCACACTTGTCCTTTTTGTGGAAATCCGCTCCACTGCTCTGCAAGAGTTTTATACATTCCACGTTACTGGAAAGACAGAGAACATCATTCAGGGGTGGCGGCGACCTGCGGGGCTCGCTGCAGGAAGACCTGTGTTCTGCAGAGTGTGGTGGCGGGAAACCACAGTTCCAGCTTTAGATTCTAACAACAACCTGAATATACGGCAAGGCCATATTAAGGACCTACGGTTCCTACAATTATTTTTTCAAAGCTAAACGATCAATACGAGAAAGAGCTTGATGAAACATTTTCAATTCCATGACGATGGCATTTAATGGTTATTATATGATTAAACCTTTCAGTGGTGGTCTCGCCATGTGCCCTAAAATGCCCTTTCAAAACCATCAGGAGTGTGGGAAACAGCCCTCTAAACCTAGGGTCATGTCACCTTTAAACAACGAGCCAGACTGGAGAGCATCACCTTTCATCAAGGCAGAATGAACTCGCCATGACCACCATTTCTGACCCAGACCTTCCCTAATGGAAAATGAAACGGCTGCGTTTCCCTGCCCCTGTGGTCTCGGGAAGTGAATGTGCAGAACCACGGCCGAGAATGATGTCGTGGAGCGCAGTGATCTTCCAACGCTCCTTTGTCATTCGCAGCAGCAATAAATCATGTTTAGTGGAGAGCGAAGGACCCGCCGAAGTGAATTTTCCTATCGAAGGGCGTGTCGTTAAATATTAATTCTAATAGGAGTTACAGACATGGATTCAGAATGGTGTGCTGTCGCTTTCTGTACAGGCCTGATATATATTTTTTTTAATGTGGGCATCAGAGGAGACAATCATCCATCATTGTTGTAAACTTCGAATACTAAGAAGTGGCCTGGGATTTACTGTTTTATTATCACTTAACTAAGAAAAATGATCTCGTTCATGATAAGCCTGAGCAGGGCTCTCCCCACCCCACACCCACCCGTCATAGCCACCTTTCTCAGAGAACAGGCTGTTTTAGCCATAAAACATGAGAACTTTCGAGACCACTCTGGGCTGGGGTAGCCTGCCTGCTGATATAAGCACCTGTCCTTCCTGCATGAAGCCAGAGGCTCAGAGGCAGACAGATCCCAGGTGTGTGGCTCACGGAGCCCACGTGATCTGGGGGATGAGGTGGGGAGAAGGAGGGTTTTCACACAGACAATAGTGTGGTGAAGGCCTGGGGCGGGGGCGACGGGGGCTAGAAGGGGCCAATGGGGAAGAAAGGGGACATATGCAATACTATCAATAATAAAGATTTTTAAATAAAAATAATAATACAAAATTATGAATATAAAACTAGATTTCAGATTTCAGAAGGAAACCATGCAAATAAGGGGCCCTATAGCTTCAGTCATCCCACTTCTAATATACAGACAAGAGGAGAGATGTTGTTGGTTCTCAAGGATTAGGAAATTGATTAAGAACCAACACCTTGCCCTAACCGGTTTGGCTCAGTGGATAGAGCGTCGGCCTGCAGACTGAAAGGTCCCGGGTTCGATTCCGGTCAAGGGCATGTACCTTGGTTGCAGGCACATCCCCAGTTTGGGGTGTGCAGGAGGCAGCTGATCGATGTTTCTCTCTCATCGATGTTTCTAACTCTCTATCCCTCTCCCTTCCTCTCTGTAAAAAAATCAATAAAATATATTAAAAAAAAAAAAGAACCAACATCTTACCCAAACAAAGCCATCTGAGAAAGGCCAGGTTTGGCTGATGTGTGGTCATACATCAAAATATATTGATGAGAGCCTTAATCTAACCACTGATATCAAAAAGAGTATATCTGATGAAAAATTATCTTTACAATAAAAAAAGGCAAGGGTTAAACTTCTTTCTTATCCTTTGGGTTTTCTTAAGCGTTGTTCACATTTAACCGCTACGAAGACTTAAAAATAAGGACAAAAATGTCTGTAAATGAACTCAATCTTGGATTCCCTCGATCAAATTATTTTCTTTCAGTGTAGGGAGTACCAAGGAGATGCACATTCTATAGGGTGAAAATCTATAATTGAAAAAAAAAACGGAAAGGAAATAAAATGAAGAGAAAGAGAGAATAAAACCAAAGAAAAACTATTTCTAGATGAGATGGGCTAAAATTTTTCTCTGGAAGGACAATAACGCAAGTAAATCTGGAAATGCAACCCAGCGATACTTGGTGTTGGTAGAAATGGTTCTGACCCAGTTCACTAAGGAAACGACCTTTGAGTCACAGACCACTGACGTCCAGGGAGAGGCATTCGTCATTAAGAAATGGAAGTCACAACTGAAACTGCTCACTACTCACCCTCCTGCAGCAGCGGCATGAAGGCACGTTCTTCCGAATTTATCTGGGGTGTCTATTTCAAAGCCTGCAGACAGCACGTGCTCATTACTAAACAAGGACACTATGCTATACTTTTGTCCTAGTTAAACCACAAGAAACATTGCAGAGACAGAAAAATCAGTTAGTAGAAAAACCAGAATGCAAAGCAACTGTAGTCAGAAAGAGGTTGTCATGGAAACAAACGAATGGGAACCGCTCAAGCGTGGCAATTTTATAGGAAGAACCGGGAAGTCAAGAAGAATTTATTTTCACATTCAGCTCTGGGTGAGCCCCAGCCCCGTATCTCAACCCCAGGACAGACATTGATGGAAACCCATTGGAGGCAAGGAGGGCGAAAGCTGGGCGGACAGGACACACGGAGAAAACACGGAAGGTACAGGAGGGATCCCAACATGCCGGCATAGAGAGTTTCTTAACGTTATCATCAGCTGCCAGTCAGTCTGAGGTTTGGGAAACGTGCTCTCATGCAGGGATGCTTTTTAGACATGCCAAAAGCAGTGGGAGCAGGATCCACCACAGGTAAAGTACTTAAAGGAGTCAAATGCTTCTGGAATATCTGCTGAATTATGGAATAAACAATCTTTGCCTTGCAGATCCCCATCGCCTTTGAATACATGGAGGTTGGCAGAAGCAGCGATAAGAAAGATTAGCAAGGCTCCAAACCAGAAGGGATTTCTTGGTTCCCAACAGGCCCGCATTAAAAATAAATAAATAAATAAAAATGAGACCTAATTGGAGGGGCTCAGCCATGGCGATTTTTCAGAGCCCACGGAGTGGAAAGGTCACATGACATTTTCTACTGTCAAAATGGGGGCGGGCGGAGGGAGATTTGGCCGCTTTCCTTTGCTGAAAAGTATTAAATGCTAAGCTACCATTTTAAGCTTGAAAGAAGTTTTCTCCATTCATGACAAACGTGCTGTGAGCTGTGGCCACTGCTGCCTGTCTCTGACTCTGGATCCCCCGAGCTCTAACTTAATAAACAGACAAAACTCTCATTCAGGGACAGCAATGCTGACATCCCGGCAGCGACAATGCCCAGGTTTGCTGGGAGCTGCCCAGAGCAGGTGATGAATGAATGACATGAAGCACAGGCAGCTCTGAGCAGACACGGAAGCCACGTGGCTCACGCAGGACACATCCAGCCTCCTCGCTGGCGATGGAGGTACTCACCCGACGACAACAGCTTCCGGCAGCAGTCGGAGTGAGCGTTTAGGGCAGCTAAGTGTAAGGGGAACATGCTATGGATCCCACACCTGAGGAGGAAAGAAACAGAGCAGCTCACGGGAACAGCTCTCAGGATCCATGCAGACGGACGATGACCTTTCTAGGTGTTCTCTGCGAAAAGTCAAGCCCACACACCTGGCTCAGGGACTCCTGGCTGAAATAGTTGTGCAATTCTTCCACTCGAGAAGTATGATGCACTCATTTTCTACCTTAAAGTAATAAAGTCCTGGGCCTAAATCAGAAGTAAAAGCCCCTAATAATGTGAAGAAAATGTTTCACATAAACATTATGTGACTCTTTACATTTAAAATTAACTTCCTTTTTTTTTTCTTTCAGGTTAGCAATTTTATATCTAATTCATTCATTCATTCATTCATTCATTCATTCATCTGCTCACATAAACATTATGTGACTCTTTACATTTACAATTAACTTGCTTTTCTTTTTTTCTTTCAGGTTAGCAATTTTATATCTCATTAATTAATTCATTCATTCATCTGTTCAACACTTTCTAAGTATGATATACTATATTAAGTGCTAGAGCAGTGGTTCTCAATCTTCCTAATGCCGCGACCCTTTCCTCATGTTGTGGTGACCCCCAACCATAAAATTATTTTCGTTGCTACTTCATAACTGTAATTTTGCTACTGTTATGAATCGTAATGTAAATATCTGATATGCAGGATGTATTTTCATTGTTACAAATTGAACATAATTAAAGCATAGTGATTAATCACAAAAACAATATGTAATTATATATGTGTTTTCCGATGGTCTTAGGCGACCCCTGTGAAAGGGTCGTTCGACCCCCAAAGGGGTCGCGACCCACAGGTTGAGAACCGCTGTGCTAGAGATAAGACAAACTCTCAACTTCGAAAGCAACCTGCTTTATTCCTTGAATTAATAAGCAAATATTTAGCTTTAGCCAGTTTGGCTCAGTGGATAGAGCATTAGCCTGCAGACTGAAGGGTCCCAGGGTCAATTCCGGTCAAGGGCACATGCCAGGGTTGCGGGCTCCATCCCCAGTGAGGGGCGTGCAAGAGGCAGCCGATGAATGATTCTCCCTCATCATTGATGTTTCTATCTATCTCTCCCTTTCCCTTCCTCTCTGAAATCAATAAAAAGAAAAATAAACAAATAGTTATTATTGACCTACCATGTACCAAGCACTTCACTAAAAGTTAATAATGGCTGTACAGTGGGGCCTTGACTTACGAGTGTCCCGACTAACGAGTTTTTCGAGATACGAGCCGTCTCTCGGCCGATTTTTTGCTTTGAGTTGCGAGCTAAAATTCGGGTTACGAGCCAGCTTCAGATACCCCACCGCTAGTTGGCGCAGCGAACGTCACAGTGAACGCCACAACATCAGCCCAGCATCACGTGTCTCACTCGTTCACTTTAAGATTTGACATACGAGTAATTTGAGTTACGAGCTCCGTCACGGAACGAATTAAACTCGTAAGTCAAGGCCCCACTGCATTATTGAAAATACCATTTTTGATGAAAATATAAACTGTTTGCCTTTTGCAGGTAAAACTCCATCTTCCTAATAGACCCTTATCCTGCTCACGAGCCCACATCAGGATCCAGCCACAGAAGCGCCGCTGGGAGTAACAAACCTGATCTGGCGTCTATTTCAAAACCCTAGCAGACTTTCCCTGACAGTGTTCCAGAAAGAATGTGCAAAAGCACTCTCAGGCAGATTCTTCCACCACAGCACAGTCCCCAGGATGCGCCCCTGGGGGACAGGCAGCTTCTGATGGCAGCGCCTTCTGCCTCCAGGTTAAATCCTCCTCTTCCCATCACCTCTCCTCGAACAAGGACCCCAGCCGTGTGCTGAACTGTAGTTCACAATGAACAGCATCATCGGGAAGGTCCTGTGTACTTACAAGCACTTATATTGTTAGTGATCGTTGCTCATTACATCTCATTTTATTCAAATAATAGATTTCAGACTTTGTAAGCCGTCTGCATAGCACAAGCGAGGTCATCTATTTACACCTGTGGGTACATTACCTAAGATTCTTCTCTGGCACTAGTGGCCTGTTTTCAGATTCTATGCATCGTAAAAAACGAGATTTGAATTTGGTTAAGTGTTGGATACATGAACTTCACTTGCTATCTCAAAAGTTATTCTGATGTGTGTGGATGTGTGAACGTATACCCGTATTCACAGATCTCTCATGGTATTCAGAGTGTCTGCGAAATCAGAGTCTGCCAGCAACGAGCCCCCTCTCTTTCCATGAACGCTTCTCTCTATTTTGAGTGTTTTTGCTCGGTCTTCCCTCCGTCCCTTTCTTTTCCCTACATGGAGATTTGCAGCCCAGGGTCTATAATAGCTGGCATCCATCAAGACATGCAATTTGCCTGTCTTCCGGGCAGTGTCATGCGCAGGAGCACTGCTTGTAATTGCCTCTCTCATCGTTTACAAAAAAAACTCTGCAAAGCAATTGCATCAGCGACAACCTGGATGCTCACGGAGAGGAAGAATGTGCTGGAGGAGGGGAGCGCTTTCTGTTTGTGCTGCTGTTTCTATTGCTCCCTCCTGATGCCAGTGAAACACGGCAATTTCTTTTCCTGGATCGCATGTTTTAAAAGCTTCTAACTACATGGAACTGTAAGCTATGAGGTTTTAGCTAACAGTTTAATTTATTTTAGGCAGTTGAGGCAAAAAATATATGATTAAATATCTCTGGACATTTCCAAGAGGAAGATGAATAGAATATTTTCTAGGGTGGTTTTAAGTTCCTGAGAAAACATGAAATCGAGGATTGGATTGCTCAAGATTTCTTTGAGACTTCTTCATTTTATATACATATATAAAATACTAAAATATAAATATGTGGCCCTAACCAGTTTGGCTCAGTGGATAGAACATCGGCCTGCGGACTCAAGGGTCCCAGGTTCGATTCTGGTCAAGGGCATGTATCTTGGTTGCGGGTACATCCCCAGTGGGGAGTGTGCAGGAGGCAGCTGATGGATGTTTCTCTCTCATCGATGTTTCTAACTCTCTATCCCTCTCCCTTCCTCTCTGTAAAAAAATCAATAAATATATTTTAAAAAAAATAATAAAAATAAAAATAAAATAAAATATAAATATGTGAAAATTTTATATTATATACTATATGCATAATATATTTATATACACAACACAATGTATATGTGTACAATATATAATGTGTTATGTATCTTCTATAATATATAGGATTTATTTTCTAAAGAGACATAGAGATATATATTTATATAAAATAATACAAGCAAATGAATTAATGAAAATAGCATCAAACTCTATAAGAAAACATAAAAAGTGTAAGTGATAACATGACAGCAACAGGATTGTTTAACAGGATTATATTCTATAATCTTCATGATCAATATTTCCTATCAACCATACCACTTACCATCACTGTCTTTAGATAATTCATTATACTCTACACTAGCTAAATTACCTCTTCTTTTTTTTTTTTTTTTTCTGTTTGTTAGTTATAAACCTGAGAAGATAAGGGAGGGAGAACTACTCCTAAAATGTCTAGCAAAAATTCTGTTTGGTATATATTTTTTATTCCACAGTTAATAAAAAGTCACTACCTCAGTGTAGGTTTTGAAAACATTAATTTGGACTCAAGTTCTACTGGCATTTGAACTTGAATATGCTGCTATGATTCAAATAGGAAAACTAAATATTAGGCCGCCATTGGAAAGAACATTAAAGTAGAATTCAGAATCTCTGAATCACTTCAGAAATGATTCATACATTTCAAAATAAAATTCCTCCTTTATTGCTATTCAACAAGACTGCTCATAAAGGAAGGATTGTAAAACCGTTAGCAGAAAATGAGGATTCGACTGTCTTAGAGGTCAAATAAGAAGGACCACTCTTACATCATCAGGCCTACATTCAGGAAGGCCAATCACTGAGGGTGTCAGCTAACACCAAACTTAACAATGTGTACGTGGCAGGAAAGAGGCGACCAATTCCAGCTAAATGGCTCCATTTATTTGACCAGACATAAAATTAATGGAACGCATTTGTATTAGCTATTTCTAATTCAGCTGTAAGCTGCCGTCTCCTACCCAGTTACTTCAGGATAAATGAGGCCAGAACAATTTGCAGACGACTCTCCGGAGTGAGCAAAGGACTTCTGCACCACTGGAATATCAATTCTTTCAAGTGTTCGCCTTGGCATCAGACAGACATGGCTATCCCTCCCTATTTCTAGTCTTTTCTAGAACCTTCCTTTAGTCGGGAGTGGGGAACGGGGCCCGCAAAATCATTTGGTCTGGCCCCGCCAAGGCAACTGCAGAAGGGACTCAAAATTCAATAAATCTAGGAGCTTTGTTCATAGCAACATGAATCTATATTAAGTGAACTATAGTGAGCGAATGATGTTAGAAATACCTAAATGTGGTTAAGGGAGGGGACGGGGTCAGAAACTTTGAGTTTGAGTTTAGTCTTGCTACTTGCTGGCTGTTTGGTCTTCAGCAAGGACAAAGCAGTTCTCTCATCCAGAAAATAAAGATCATGGCGTCGCTCTTTCTTACCTCTCTGAGCTCCAGAGCACGGTCTGCGGCTGGACTCAGGGCTCGTGTCCCTTTATGGGGTGTCAGAGCCCTTTGGTTTTCTTCTCTAACTTTTTTAGGTTTGGGGCGCTTATCTCTAGGGTTTTCATTTCTCTTCGTCCTGACCGACTGTGCTCACTTCTTTCTCTGTCTTAACTGCAGCAGCATTTGGGATATCGTCAAGCAGGTAACTGTTCTGAAACCCACCCCACCTCCCCAAGCCATTTACATCTGGTTCATGCTCAAGCAAGGCTTTTCATCCTGTTGTACAAAATTGTCAAGTAAAATAAGATTCCTAATAATACACTGCCCTCATATTGTTCTGCCCCTGAAAATTGTTATTGTTACCCACGGTCTCTGTGATCAAGGCTACACTCTTGATTCAAGTATCTAAGGCCCTCTGTAATCTGGTTCTACTACATATTACTAACAAATAATAGTTAACATTTAATGATAGCTTATTTTGTGATAGGTACAAATAACATGGATTATCTTGTTTCATAACCTTAGCAGATGTATGTATATAATCCATACAGCTCTTAACCTATTCCAGAGAGCTTTACTAGTAATTAAGTCCTTTCATCCTTATAAACAAACCAGTGGGTAAGTACTATTATTACTCCCACTTTTCAAATGAAGCAACCGAAGCACAGAGAGATTGAGCAATGGGCTCAAGGCCACACAGCTCACAAGCAAAGCAGCTTGGCCTGGAGCCTGGGCAGTGACAGCCTGGGCCCCGCCTGGGACATGGCGCTGCCTCTGGGCAGAGCATGGCATCCCCATACACACTCTTTGAGCCCAAACTCTTCCCAGAACTGTACCCTTTTCATCTTTTGTTCCTGTGTTCCTCTCTGCTTGGGGTCTGCCACCCTCTGCCTACCTAAACCTCATCGCCTGAAGGCTGTTCTGAGCAGTTGGCCACACGGGCGCTCTCCCCTTCCTGTCCACACTCTAGGGCAGTGGTTCTCAACCTTCCTAATGCTGCGACCCTTTAATACAGTTCCTCATGTTGTGGTGACCCAAAACCATAAAATTATTTTCGTTGCTACTTCATAACTGTAATTTTGCAACTGTTATGAATCGTCATGTAAATATCTGATATGCAGGATGTATTTTCATTGTTACAAGTTGAACATAATTAAAGCATAGAGATTAATCAAAAAAACAATAGGTAATTATCTATGTGTTTCCCGATGGTCTTAGGCGACCCCTGTGAAAGGGTCGTTCGACCCCCAAAGGGGTCGCAACCCACAGGTTGAGAACCGCTGCTCTAGGGCATACTGTCTACACCAAACATCTTGCCACCTTCGTCCTGCTTCATTTGGAACTTTATTATATGCTAACTTGCATGGTTCTTTGTGTTGGGCAGGCCTTGGGCCTCCAACACAGTGATGACCTCCTTGAAGGTACCAACAAGGTAACTTCTGAAATTCCCCACAGCGCCTGGCTTTGTGACAGCTGGTCCAGATGCCCTATACATCCTTGTTTGAAGTGAAGTGTGAAATGAGGTCAGCTCCCCCTCCCTATGTAGCACATTTACTCAATTGGACCCTATAATTACATAATTAAGAAAGCATCCTGAATAAACTCTAAATTTGCCCACGTATGATTCATTTTCCCTGCTGAACTGAGATGGAACATGGGAAAGAACAGAAGAATATTACAATGCAAAGTTAGGAAGGAAGCTCAAGTCTCCTTAATTAAAACCACTGGAATAGGCCTCTTATTGATGTGGCTGAAAAAATTAATTTGGTTCTTCCTTACATCTGTCATTAAAAGTCACTTAATTTCATTCAAATTTAATTTGTCCTTAGCATAAATGGTACAGATCCACCTGAAGCTGGATAAACGGGCCTATCTACCGCAGGGCAGGACCCCTTTGGCAGTATTTCCACGCGCGGCAATCATTCCCCCGCATCTGGCAGTCACCTACTTGGCTGTGTCCGCTCCGCTGGTGATTAGGGTGTTAATCAAAAGCTCGTGGCCGTATCTTGCAGCCACGTGGAGAGGAGTGTTGCCATCCTTATCCACGCAGTCGATTTCTCCTCCTGGAAAAGATTTTTTAACACAGGAGATAACGTAAGGACCCAGGCTGATCTGATGCTACCTTCTCCGCTAGTCACTCGTGGTGATCAGATGTTGATTTCTTCCCTACTCTGTGCATCTCTCCCCCGAAGTAGAGGAACGCTTTTCCGTCTGAAGGAGGGGGATTAGCAAAGCTGCATGGAGGGAGGTCTGTTAGAAATGCTTCTGAAAAAGCTTTCCATATTGTCATATGAGGACCTAACATCTTACAATCAGATCCCTGCTCTGAAGGGACAATATAATCAAATCCTATTCAATGTAATTCTGAAGACATACTCATTTTCTACTGTACCTGCTGAAGTAAAGATCTATGTAGGCCTTATACTAAAGCTAAAGAACCAAGGCGAATAGAGAGTTCAGGAAAATATTTTATGTAGTTTGATTGTCTAATTTAAAATATGATGAGTAAAATAAGTAAAAGCATGAACTGAACTGAAAATATATTTTTAAACACTATCACATTCATCATCCGTAGTCCATAATAATATAGTATTTCCTTTGTATTTTGTCTTTTTCCCCAACTTTTTCTTTTACTACATTTCTTTTTCCGCTTTTTATATACGTATATGTAAATATGATTAGTCTGTTTTTTCATGTATTTGAGGAACCACTTAAAAATCAGTTAGACATATGACATTTCACCACTAAGAACAAAGACACGCTCCTACATATATATCCATAATTCCATCATTATACCCAAGAAATTTAACATTGATATAATTTTATGTAATATACAGTGCATGTTCCAATTTCCCCAATTATACCAAAAATGTGCTTAAGAGCTATTTTAAAAAATTCCAGGATCCAATCTAAAATTCTGACCGCATTTGGTTGTCCTGCCTCTTTAGTTTCCTTTAATCTACAAAACTCTTCTTGCCTTTTATTTATTTTTTAGTCTCTGGTGTCACTGATACTTTGGGAGGCCAAGCCAGGCGCCCTGTAGAGTGTTGCATTCTGGAATTGCCTGATGATTTCCTTATTACTAGATTCAGGCTACACATTGTGTCAAGAACACCCCCGAGTTGATGCGCATCCCCCACTCCATCTCCTCAGCGGACACGTAAGGTCAAGTTATTCCATTACTGGGTGGCGCATCTGAGAAAGTTCTAAAAATGGATGAATGCACAACAACGTACTCAGTGCATGTTTCAAAAGTCACAGTTCGATTTTTACAAAGCCCCACTCTCACTTCTATCCCTTCCACTTCATCCTCAACCACATCCTGTAGAAATCACCTGCACTGGTTTGGGTTTATGTTTCCTGTGTTTCTCTGCAAAAATAAGCACCAGACTCTTTCACACCCGGCTCTTTTCCTTTTCATTTAATGCCTCTGGGAATTCACCTCCAGAGACCACTTCTTGGAGACCTTCCTTGTCTCTGTACAGCTTTACGGTTTCCATTGCCCGGATGTACCAGTTCACTGCCCCAGTCTCGTATGGATGAGCATTTAGGTTGTAAATATTATTCTTGCCATTATCAAGAACGCTGTAGTGAATAACCTATGGCTTCGTATTTGTTGGGTATATCATCCGGGTAAATTCCTAGAAAGGGGATTTCTAGGTCACAGGGTAAATGAACGTGTGGTTTTGTTAGATTTGCTAAATTTGCCTCGTTAGGCCCTGTGCAATTTTGCAATTTCGGCAGCAAGGTATGTGTGCCTTTACCCCACAGCCTTGTCAAGCTATGAGTACTGTCATGTGATGGGTGAGAACTGGCAGCTCAGTGTAGTTTTCACTTGAATTTCTCTTATCAGGAAAGTTGAGCATCTAGTCATATATTGAAGAACCATTTGTTTATCTTTTCCTATGAACTATTTGTCATTGCCTTTTGCCCATTTTTCTAAGTGTGTGTGTGTGTGTGTGTGTGTGTGTGTGTGTGTGTGTAAGGGGGTTCTTTTATCCCTTGATTTTCAGGGCTCTTAAAATATTTAAGAGATTACCCATTTATCAGTAATACATGTTGCAAACATTTTCCCCCTGGAATTTCATTTGTCTTTGGTGTGTCACCCTAAAAAATATTTTTGTAATGTACCAATCTTTTATTGTACTTAGATTTTAAGTTGTAGTTAGAAAGGCTTTACCCACATCCTGGCAATAAAGAAATCAACGTGAAAATATCTGCACATCAAATCTTTCTTACTGTGGTACAGTACTTATTTTTAAAAACCAGTTATTCATATCAACTATAATCATTTCTGTAAAAATAAAAGTAATGATTATATATCTTTATACTGTGTATACATATACATTCTTAAATACAGAGAAAAATCTGGAAGTGTCGTCAAACTGTCAATAGAAATTCTTGGGATGGCGGTGGGGAGACATATTGGTGAATATCATGGGCAATCTTGTGATTTAACTTTGACAATGAGCATGTCCTAATTTTATAATCAGTTAAAATAAGAAAATAAAATTAGATAGGATCTTCTAGGGACTTAACAGATTGTTTACTATGATCCAAATTTAGAAGCATCCAACTTAGATCAATCATTTTTATGACATGATGTAATCTTGGGGACAGGCAGCCAGCTGGTCTCCATGGATACCTCAGAGCAATCCTGGTACATGTACTTGTCTAAGAACCGCCTACAGTAGGCCTGGAAGGTCTACTCCTGGAGCTGGTCGGGGAGATAAGGGGGGCAGACCCCCAGACTGCAGAGAAACCTTCACCCTGAACACACACTGAATCACTCGGGCCCTTCACAGCCAAGAGCCGGCAAACCTTTCTCAACAAATGTGAGAGCTGCACGTTTACCAGCCTCAACTATGCCAAAAACTGGGTAGAAGAAAGAAGAGTGAAAAATATTGAAAAGGGTGGAAAAGAGAGGCTGAGTCGATAAAGTTTCTTCCAGTTGTTGTGCTATCATTTAATAAGTCCATTTAAAACTGTAAAAACATAGATACTTCCACACACGCTTTTATTGTCATTTAAAATACAATTCAAAAAAATAAAATAAAGCACATTTCAAGAAAACATAATTTGGGTAGTTGTTATTCAGAAATGTTTTATATTAAAATAGGACCTCGAGCTGAATGAATTTCCATTTTCCATTCACCCAAACCTTTCCATTTTTACCTGAAGACCTTTAAGATGTTCTTGGAATGCAAATTAAATGCCTTTGCTATTCATTTAAAGGTTGCAAGTTAAACACTGGTTATCTGTCCTGGATCGTTAGTGAGGAAAAAAAGTATCTGAGTTTAGAAGAACGCACTCGCGCACTCGTCTGAAGCTAGTTCCATCGCACATGCAAGGACGCTCAGCTCACCAAGTTGCCTCAGAAGAACTGTGAGCCAAAAGGTCAAAAACCTCACGATGACTCATCCTAGCCCAGCATTTGACTCTTGCTTTTCAAACTCTATGTATTTGTACAGCTTCCTGAAGAAAACAGCTGCTTTGAACTTTTGCAATGTACTGAGAGGCGTCTGAGCAGCTGCCTGGGGCCAGCGGCTGGACTCAGCGCCTCCTGATTCCATGTTGGGTTTCGTTCAGGTCCTTCCCCCTCTGCCTGTGATGACAGAGCTTCAAACACACTGCGACTGAACAGCAGAGGCTGTCTTGCTAACGACAGAGCTTCAGACAACACACTGCGACTGAACAGCAGAGGCTGTCTTGCTAACCAACTAAAAAAATCAATGGCTGCCTTACCGAAGCTGGATAATTCTGGAAAAACAAAGTGATTATAAAGAAGAAATAACCCTGACTAGAGAGCAGAGAAATGCCATAGGAAGTCCAACCCCAGAGTGACTGAACAGAACAACAAACACACACAGCATGCTCCTCGCAGCCTGCTTTCAGGTCCAGGAGCCAGCACTGTCCCCACGTGGGCCAGACCTGGGCCCCCTGGCCCAGAGACCCCTCCGAGGCACACAGGCCCTGCGGGTGTGAGGGTGAGAGCCTCCGTACTTTCCCAGAAGGAAGCCAACCGACCGGAGGGAAGAACAGAGCTGCTTATTCTCCTCCCTGAGGACACTTTGTAAAATGTCAAATGGAAGCACTCGCAGTTCTCACGTGGGGGATGAACGCAAAGAATTCTCAGCTGGGAGGAGAATGAGATCATCCTATCTCAGGGACAACTCACTCCAAATGTAAGCGACTCCTGGACTAAATAGAATTCAAGTCAAAGACAACTTTAATGTCCTTGTTTATCCAGAAATCACGTAAGTATAGTGGTTAAAAATTCAGTCTCTGGCCCGGCCAGCGTGGCTCAGTAGTTGAGTGTCAACCTATGAAGCAGGAGGTCACAGTTCAATTCCCGGTCAGGGCACATGCCCAGTAGGGGGCATGCAGGAGGCAGCCGATCAATGGCTCTCTCTCATTGATGTTTCTATCTCTTTCTCTCCCTCTCCCTTCTTCTCTGAAATCAATAAGAAAAAAAATATATTTTTTAAATTCAGTCTCTGATGTTAGACTGCCTCAGTTCCAATCTCTGTGCCTTCACATACCTGCCAAATATCCTGGCAAAAGCCACACCCTCTCTGCCTCAATTTTCCCATCTTTGAAATGGAGCTCTTCCTCATGGGGTGGTTGAAAGGATTTGTGTGCACATCTAAGCCAAGCGCCCAGCACAGTGTGAACACTAGACCAAAGGTAGCTTTGGAATTATATATAACTAGAGGCCCGGTGCACAAAATTCGTGCACTCACTGGGTTCCCTCAACCCGGCCTCTGCCCTCTCACAGCCCAGAAGCCCTCGGGGGATGTCTGACTGCCAGCTTAGGCCCACTCCTCAGAGGGAGCAGGCCTAAGCCGGCAGTCAGACATCCTTAGTGCTGCTGCGGAGGCGGGAGAGGCTCCCGCCATCACTGCCGCGCTCACCAGCTGTGAGCCCAGCTCAGGGCTTCTGGCTGAGCAGCGCTCCCCCTGTGGGAGCACACTGACCACCGGGGGGCAGCTCCTGCATTGAGTGTCTGCCCCCTGGTGGTCAGTGTGCGTCATAGTGACTGGTTGTTCCACTGTTTGGTCGATTTGCATATTAGCCTTTTATTATATAGGATGGACTACATATTCTAGCCCCTAAGTCCCCATCATTTGAGACCCCTGGACCCCATCCAATGCACAAGCAAGATGGCAGGCCAGCCAAGAATGAGACAGGCTCTGAAACAAAGCTCCTTGGTCACAGAGGACAAGAGATGGGGTCCCTTTCAGGTCTCGTCCCAACTCAGACGTCTAGCAAGGATGTGCAGAGAGGGCGTGGAAGTCTTCAGGTCCTCAGGGACGGCTTTTGGAGAAGTCAATGCAGCGCCCCCATGCCCCGCCCACCGGGGGGACTGTTGTAAGCAACTAGCATAGCAGAGGGCAGGTGGGTCTGGCCAGGACTCAAAGGAGAAGGCCCGTACGTCTGGCCCACAGGACGCTCGTGAGGAGGGCAGAGCTTACAAGGTGAGAAACTACTCTCTCTGGTCTGGTCACTGATGCTTGAAGTGGCTCTAACAGGGAACAAAGCTTTTATGCCACAGAGCTAAGGCCCAGTTCATTTGAATTAATTTTTTAAAAGTAAACTATACCAAATTTCTCCCTAGTTTTGTTTATTTTTTAAGGCAGGGGACACTCTTCTGAGAAATGCAGTGGGGCAAGGAAACTGATCAAAAGAGAGACACGAGGGTCCTGCCACCTCCCCTGTCCACGCCCAGCAGAATAAAACCACCAACGCGGTCCTCTCACTAAAGCGAGTGTCCAAGGCCACATATGCCAATTACAAAGAGCGAGTGTGTGCCATTAATCTTCATTTTCCCTCCCCAGGCTCAGTGGGGACTGGTTAGGAAGGCCTTTCCCCGACCGTCTCCCTGAAATGCTAGACATGTCCTTTGCTTTGCTGCAGGTATTCTGCTTTCGAAGCATCATTTCCCTGGCTGGTCTTCCGTCCAAATGTCAAACGACGGTTTGGTTTTACGACCTGAGTGCCTACGCTCTAACTCAGTGCCACGAATAATTCAAGTGCATGTCATCAAAGTCCTGACAGGTGAGAGAAAAACAGGTCCAAGAAAATTGATGCCAGAACTGTGAGAAGGAGAAATGTGGGTCAGCTAAAGATAGCCGAGGAGCTGCGGGGTTCACCAGGAACGTGAACTAAAATCTGGGCTAACCCCGTGGGGGGCGTTTCGTGGTTTTGGTGTGTGTTTTTTTGTCAGATGTCTCTGAGATTTGCTAAGATAACAGACTTGGGCTGTGAAGGTCAAGCCACTCGGGTGCCGGCCTCCACCCACAATGTGAAGTGACCCTCCCAGGTACTCTGGCTGCGGAGCCAGCCCATTGGCTCACGTAGGCTGCTGCTGTAAGCCTGGGAGATTGCTAGATCATGTGACTTCCCAAGGTCTCTATCGAGCACGTGATTGTTAGGATTCTTCACATCACATACTCACCTGCTTTTTTCCTGGGTCAACTCATCGTTAGCTACCTTTGCCCGAGCAGCCCAATGCGGTTCACCTTAGGGGACGATGGTGAATTCTGAAACTTGAAAATAGCTCCGACTTCCTGCTAGGAAATGTATAGTACTTATTTGTATCAGTTTTTGAGTAAAAGTGCAGGATCTTGAGCCTATGTAGGTATGTATACCATGTCTAGTTTCAGAACTCACATGTTCTTTGACTGACTGGGGATGGACTGTGGAACTTAGTGGCTTTAGGTCGTCCCTCCTGAGCTGGCTGGGGATGTGACGTCGGAGGAAGAGCTTTTAGCAGAGCACATCAAAGGAAACTGCAAATCCGAGCGCAATGAACTCTAAAAGAGCATCACCTTTCACGTTCAGATAACTGACAGCCCATCTCATGGGACCAGAACACTGTTCAAATAGGAGAGTGCGGAAGAGGCCTCTTACCGTTCTGAATGAGGGTCTGCGAGCGTGTGAACCTGCCGTGGACGGCTGTCATGTGCAACGGGCTTTTGCCATCTTTACTCTGAAAAAGAAGGGAGAGAGAAACAATGGACCAGGGACATGGGTCCGAGACATCCCTACGGACACTGCTGGCGATGTCCTGACAATGTCCATTTAATTTTTTTTAAGTATAATAAAAAAATGACAAGAGGCAAAAGATAATTTTGAAAGCGAGTGATAAAGTGCATGTTATACCTCAAGTTGCTGCATAACATCACATCGTAAAGAAGCCGGGAGAAGTGAATATTTTAGAGAAGAAATGCAAAATGTCTAGTTATACTGACAGTTTTTAAATGACTCTGTTTCAAATGGAATAAATCCTCCAAAATGTTTTCATCTCCTGTAACCAACTAGTTGAAGGAAGTTTTCTCCAAGGACTTTTTTTTTGAACTTTTGTCTATAGTCCATGAAAAAAAAAAGAAAAAAGACAAACGGTGTGTTACCTCGCTTGGCCCTGAGTGACCTGGCGTAGCCCAAACTGCTATAAATCACTGCAACTCTCAGGACGAACCTAGAATCCTCCACCATCCCTCCCTTCCAACTCCAGAGGAAAACTTTCTGACTGTTGCAAAAGAGAAAGGCTGAATTCACAGCATCAAGGCATGCAGCTGTCCAGCCAACTGCCCCTTTACCATCACCTGGAAACTGGTGTACTGAATTCATACACCTCTTCATTGTTCAAGATATCAGTGATGGGACTTCCTGACACAGGTTCAGCCAAAACATAAAAAATGCACAGAATCTATATACTGATCATCATTACACCAAATACCCAAATCCCACACATTTAATTAAGAAATACTCATTCATAGAATTTCTTAAAATAGTAATCCCCCCCAAATTATTAGTTATTTTAGACCAAAGGTATCCTCAACAGAATGCCTCCTTTCATTCAAGTATTGTAATAATAATAATAATAATAAACACACTATGTAATTTTATTTTTCTAAGTCTCGGGGAAAACACTTTTCTTAAGCCTGAGGTTAAAATATGTGGTTTGTAAAATGCAAGTTCATTTTAGTGATGCATCCCATATACTGTTCCTTTAAAATGGCTCTTGGTTTAAAAAATTCTACAGTGGAACACAAATCATTACTTAAAGAAGTGTTTCTCAGAGTGAACCGAGGACTACCTGCGCCTGATCATCGGGTTGCTTGTGATAAATGTGAATTCTGTGCCCAAACCCAGACCTGCCGAGCCGGAATCAGGGCGACGGGAGCCCCACTTGTGACCTGCAGAGCACCCTGCTTTCCACTGTGGGCTGGAACCGCTTGCAGAACCACAGGCTTGAACAGAGGAGTTGACGTCTATTCCTCAGAAAGGAAGCAGGGAGCCACGCACAGCCTGGGCCACGGGAGGAGCGCATCAGAGTGGGAGCTGCCTGGCGGTGACAGTTCGCAGGCAGCCACAGAAAAAGAACTGATAGCTCTTTCCCCGCCTCACAGCAGTGTCACCCGAGTCAGAAAGGGCTGAGGAAGAGAGAGGGAAGCCCACCGGAAGGCTTCCTGAAAGGGGATTTTTAGAGGACAAGCAGCAGCACTCAGGATAGTGAGGATATGTGGCCACCCCGGCCACGCGTGCGCAGCGCAGGAGGCTCCCCAAAGCTCTCCGACTCCAGAGCCTGGGCCCTCTGTCGGAGGTGCAGCCAGTTTCAAGCACCGAAACCCTGGGAACCACTTGGGAATAAGGATTTAAAACACCCCCCAGCCCTGCACCCCCCATAAAAACATGACGACAGTCCAAGACGCCTAGGGAGAGAACAGAAGTTGCAGACTGACATGAACTTGTCCCTAGGTGGCGCTATTTCTTTAAATTTTGCTCTAATGTTGTCTCTTAAATTTAATATGAAAACATAACTAATTCGTGATTCATTAAACACATAAAGCCATGGGTATTTCCGTGTTTAGATGGTATCTTTGTACATATTTAACTGAGCACTTTTCCACGCCTAGAGAACAGCTTAAAGCCTTCCCCGAGGCGTCCCCCCAATCTGGTGGTCACTAAGCAAACTGCGGCCAGTGAGCCGGAGCAGAAGCAATGGGCCTGCAGAGTGTCGTCTACCAAGAGGGTCCATTTCAGGGACAGCAGCGCCACACCTGCTGTTCCCTTGGCGTGTGTGTGCCTTTGGTAAAGGGACAAATAAATAGGCTGACTGACCAAGGTCAGGAAAACCCAAAGGACAACGTGATGGTCAGCGGTGATGCCCATTCGGGTTTATCCTTGTCGATCTTTGCCCGGGTTCGTCTACCACTGAGTCCAGGCCGTTGCTGACTGTCCTTTCCTCATAGGGAGACGGGTGGCAGGGGGGCGGGGAGGTGACAGGAAGCATTACAAGTCACTTTAGGGCAGTTTTGTTCATATGGTATGAACTTCAAAAAGCCCTTGACCACCAATGAAGGTCAAAAGGACACTACTTTGTAGCTCGCCTTGCGAGCTGGAACTCGGAGTCCTCGGGCTGAGAGGAGGGGCCCTGCCTGAGACATGGTGCACATGGGGGCTGGCTGTAGCTGCTGATGTTCTGAGAACCTCCGAGATGAAAGATCCCTGCATGCTCGAAGGAGAGGTCATGTGCAGTTCCCTCTGTTTATTCACAGCTTTGCTTTTCCAAATCTTATTCTTAATGTCTAGGCTCCCTCCGATTTCCAGATGCATTTTCCCAACAGATTGAGGGCTCGGAAAGTTTTATTTGGGGGATTTATTTCATTAAGCAAAAAGCTCTTCTACTGGCTCAGAGTGCAGTCATAAATTATGAAGAAAAACGAATTGAGGATTAAGGATATTTTATGACAAATCTGAATACTCTTTTGGGGCAGAATTCAGCACCATCTGAGGAAGACTGATCCTTGGCCTAAGGGAGTGTTTCCCTCTTCTTGACCCTTTTCCTCAGAAATCCGTTCATTCTCTTCTTCCGCTCCTAATGCCGCCCTTCCTCATCCTCCAACTCCTCACAAAACCTTCCCTAAACACACAGACATTGTCCTCCCCGGGAACCTGCAGGCTTTGTGCTCTTTGTGGTATATATGCTGCCTCCCAGAGTCACCAGCTCCGTGTCCTACTAAAGGCCAATAGCGTCTCTAGAGCACAACACTAAGCAGGGGGAGGGGGCCAGACAGAGCCAGAAACCCCAAAGGGCTTCCTAAGTCAATGGAAGAACTTTCGATGGATTGCTGTATGAACCCTCGATAGATTGCTGTATGAACCTTCGATGGATTGCTGTATGAACCTTTGATGGATCGCTATATGAACCTTTGATGGATTGCTGTATGAAGTATTATGTCTCATTTTATCACAAATAAACTAATATTACAAGGTCAAAGCCACGGTCAATCTAAGCAAAATGAGGGATTGTCAAATGCACGCAGGACACATATACTTCCTCCTCTTTCAATATTCTTGCCATTGCCCATGAAGACATGGCTTTTAGTGTTTTGTGAGGATGGAGGAAAACAAAGTGAACGCGTGGGTGGGTATTGGCCATATTTCAATATGTGATTTCCCTCAAGCTTTAGAAAATCTAAACAAATACAAACTGTCTTGCAATCTACAAACACTGTCAAAAGCCAGGGAGCAACGTGGTAGAGAGAGATAACCACTTCAATTAGAAAGCTACCTCCAGAGTCAGACAGAATGGCTCTACGGAAATGTCAGATGATCTATGATCCCAGCAACCATCTGGAATAGCAAAGGGGGACCCGAGAGAAGGAGGAAACCAAGAGGATGTAGACAGAGTGGATGTAGGGAGGTTGAGGGGAAAGGCTAGATTTAATTCAAAATCCCACCGGCATAGGTTTGAGAACACATAAACCCAAGTCTCAGGTTTTAAAAATGCTATTTCCTATATTCTACTGATGATTAGCAGTCCACAGGAAAAGTTAATATTAAATCTATTAACTATGCTTCCATGTCCGTTTTATGGGGAAGAGAAGGCTGCCATACACCATATGGTGTATAGTAGAATAGCTGAAGAGAATTTCAGAGTTCTAGATCTTGTAATTAGAGACCATCCAAGGTCCTAAGTGGAGGTAAGAGGAAGGTCTTTGGGGGCATTGAAGAGATCCAGGAACTGTAGCCCAAGGTGGGGGGAGAGTCATCGTGTGGGAGTGTGGGATTGAAGTCGGAGAGTGTGCTGGTGGGAGGCTAACAGGTGGCCAGACCTTCACTGTCCCTAGGCTTGTGGACATACACAGCTGAAGCCCCTGTCCAATGGGAACTGCCACTGTCAGTGACCGGGGAGCAGTAGGTAGGTGTGTCCTTCTAGCCGCGGGATAAGTACACTGAGTATCAGTCACATGTTTACAGAGGTGATTGAAAACCTTTGAATTAATTGAATGGAGGTTGGTGAAAAGAGAAACTTTAATTTCAATAATTTTTCTTTCTTTGGGGGCTTTAAGGATGTCCCTCAGACACCAGGATGGCAATGTCCACAAGCCTAGGGACACTGAAGGTCTGGCCACCTGTTAGCCTCCCACCAGCACACTCTCCGACTTCAATCCCACACTCCCACACGATGACTCTCCCCCCACCTTGGGCTACAGTTCCTGGATCTCTTCAATGCCCCCAAAGACCTTCCTCTTACCTCCACTTAGGACCTTGGATGGTCTCTATTTACAAGATCTAGAACTCTGACATTCTCTTCAGCTATTCTACTTTTTCATTATTACCTGCTTTTCTTCATGAAGACTCTACACTCCCCTCCACTTCCTTCCTTTTCTCTAACTCTTTCTTTTTTCTTTTATAATTGATTTTAGAGGAAGGGAGAAAGGGAGAGGGAGAAGGAGAGAGAGAGAGAGAGAGAGAGAGAGAGAGAGAGAGAGAGATAGAGACACTAAGAGTGCCATACCTGGATGTTAACATCCGCCCCGTTGTTGACTAACAGCTCAAGACACAAAGCACCGTGGGTGGAGGCAGCAGCAAAATGCAAAGGGGTGAAGCCACTGTTGTTGGGCTGGTTCACGTTAGCACCGTAGTCGGTCAGCTCGTTGACTACAGCGTCCTGCCCGTTGTAGCAGGCCAGGTGGAGCGCTGTGTTCCCATAGACGTTGATTTCATCGATCTGCAAATGAGTGCGGGACAGGGGGATTAAAACCCCTGCAGCCAATTCACCCCATTTCCCACAAAAAAAAAACCTAACGGCTGTGCCAGAGAAAGAAAACGTCCGTCTGTCAACGTAATTGTTCAGCGCTTACACCTGCCCATCGTGGTCATCCTGGAAATACTTGTCACCGGAGGTAAAGAGCAGCAGAAAGGGGGTGTGACAAACAGTGAACTGGGGAGGAAGAGTGAGTAAGAGGTTTCAACTAGTGGACAGAAAGTTGTGGGCTATGGAAGGGATTAACAAGTGAAGGGCAAAGCTGCCTGGAATGCCAGAGGAGAAGTGAATCGGGGGAGTGAGAAAGAAGCCTAGCCGGCTGGTGTGGCTCAGTGGTTGAGAGTCAACCTATGAACCAGGAGGTCACGGTTCGATTCCCGGTCAGGGCACATGCCCGGGTTGTGGGTTCGATCACTAGTATGGGGTGTGTAGAAGGTAGCTAATCAATGATTCTCTCTCATCAATGATGTTTCTATCTCTCTCTCCCTCTCCTTCCTCTCTGAAATCAATAATAGTATTTTTAAAAAGAAGAAGAAAAAAGTCTGAAACTCACAGTGAACCCGAAGCAAAAGGAGTGGGAGGTGCACAGGGAGGTGCTGTGGAGCTGGAGCTCAAAAGTGGGGCTCAGAAGCCACCCTGGGTGTGGCTGCCGCCTGACACCTCACAAGGCCGCATCCTATAGCAGGACCAGGAAGCTGGCCTGGGTTAGGCCATGGCTCTGTCTTCCTGCCCCGATTGCTGGGTTTCACCCTCAGGGTCTCAGTTTTGCAACTTGGTTTTCCTTTCCTGCTCTGCTACCTGCAGGGGCTGGGCTGACCTCTCCAGCTCAGCACTGAACCCTTCTGCTGCTGTCCCTGCCACTCCCTCATTTCTGCTCGTAAGCCACCAGGTAAAAGGCCAGATTCCGAAGGTGGGATGGGGAGTCCTAGCCAGTCTTTAAAATTGACTGGTTAATGTGTATTTTATACATATAAAACTATTTCTCTATCTATTGTGACACAGAAAGTTAGTCTGTTTCTGGTTTTCCGGTAATTACATGCCCCCATTGCCCTCCGTCAGTTAGTTGCTCATTGAAACTCAAAGACAGGGTACTAGTAAGAAGGGTATTTTTCCTCTTGAGTTAAAATGGAAACAGGATTTAGTCCTGGACGGGTAGCTCAGTTAGTTAGAGCATTGTCCCGATACGCCAAAGTTGTGGGTTCCATCCCCCATCAGGGCACATACAAGAATTAACCAATCCTAAATAATAAAAGCCTAATATGCTAAGTGTCCGGTCGTCTGGTAGGCCATTCAACCAATCAAAGCGTAACATGCGAATGATATGCTAAAGTCGCTCAACCGCTCACTATGACATGCACTGACCACCAGGGGGCAGACAGTCGACTGTTTGACCAGTTGCTATGATGTGCACTGATGTGACCACCAGGAGGAAGATGCTCTGACCAGTAGGTTAGCTTGCTGCCGGGGTCTGGCTGATTGGGACTGAGCGAGACGGGCCGGACACACTCTGGAGCCCTCCCACAGTCCCTCCCCAGCTGGCCAACCTCCCGCATCTAGGCCTGCACCCTCTGGCAATCCAGGCTGAGGGGTTCCCCTCCCCCCCCCCC